CAAAGGCGGCTCAAGATGGCACAGTAAAATAACACGATAAAGTGTGGACAGAACAAGAGTTGGAAAACCAAAGAAGAATGATGCACTCAGCGTTTCTCAGACTGAAACTAAAAAGAAAAGTCAAACATTGAGCTGTAATATTGAGTTTCTGCAGCAAAATATTGTACAGCCAAGGATACACCCAATGCAGATGGAAGGAATACACGAAGTCACTGAAGCAACCCCATTCAACCGTTTCCAGAAGTAGCCTGTGATCGAGAACTGAGGGTCCTGAAGGAAGAAATCCAAAGCGCACTGAAGGAATGGCGGGAACAAGGCTTCAGGACCTGACGGAATCTCAAGTGAGGTGTTTCCAGAAGTGGATACAGAGCTGTATCCTCATCCTCACCCTCATCCATGTCAAGCAATTTGGAAGACTTAGCCAACCAACTGAAAGAAGTATTTGTGCTCATGCCAAAGAAATCTAGCGAGAGGAGAAATTATCCAAAGTATGATTCATGTCACATAAAAAAATAATGTTTTGCTAAATAATTTTTAAATGACTGCAGCAGTCGCAGGAAACTGCCAGAGATCCAGGAGACCTGGAGAAATGCTGATGTCTCAAGTTAGACTTCTCGACTGCTGCTTCCGTGGATGCCGACTGTGGATCCAAGGAAATAAAATCTCTGGCATTTCCGTGTTATGCACATGCCATCAGGAGTCAGGAGTACCCAATCCCCAGAGAAGGACTTCATGTCTCGTAAGCAGAATCAATGAAAAAAGAAAGAGCCTCAACGAAACGGATGGACCCGGTGGTTAAACAGAGCAGCAACTGTGAAGACGGCACACACGCAGGCATTTTTTCCTATTGTACATAAGGTTGCTGAGTTAGAGCCACGCCAATGGCACCTCATACTAACAACAATAGCAGCTAATAACAGTGAGCATCTTTTCAAATGTCTTGTGGCCATTAAGGTATCTTCCTTAGTGAAATGTCTATTCAAGTTCTTTGCCTTTTTTGATTGGGTTGTTTTCTTCTCTATTGTCACATTATAGGAATTCTTTATTATTATTATTATGAATAATAACAATAAACCATTTTACTGGGGCCTCTTACATATATTATAACAATCCATAAGTCAATTATATCGAACGAACTTGTATAGATATTGCCATCTTCAATTTCAAAGCCCTTTCTTCTTGAGCCCTTTAATATTAGCTCCTCTTTACTCCCTCCCTCCTCAGTCCTACCACCTTTGTTAACCCTTAATATATTATGTCTTATTATTTTTATATACCTTACACCGTCCGATATATCCCTTCACCTACCATTCTGAAATTCATCCCCCTCGAGGGGGGTTTTACCACCATCATTGTTTTCAATTCCCCCTTCCCCCCTTGGGGATTCTAAATCCTTTCCAGATATATGGTTCCCAAAATGTTTCTCCCAATCTTTAGGTTGCCTTTCTCATTGCTGATAAAATCCTTTGATGAGCTAAAGTCTCTAATTTTGATGAAGTCCCATATAAGTACTTCTTTAGCTTGCTGCTCATGTTTTTGGTGTCATAGCTAAGAATAGTTTAAAACTAGGTCCCAAAGCCGTGACTTACGATGTTTTCTTCTAAGAGTTTTATGACTTTAGTTTTCACAGTTAGCTCCTGGATCCATTTTTAATTTACTTTCATATACGGCATAACGTGTGGTTCCAGCTTCATTCTTTTGCACAAGGAGGCAAGAAAACATTTACCCTTAACGGTAAAAGACCTGAAGTTATGTGGATTTTGTCCTGTGACCTGGAGAGATACCCCTTGAAGCAATTGGGAAGCTTTGGCCTGGAGCCCCCACAATACATGTGAAGATTTGTGTTGTGCAGTGGGGTCTCGTCGGAGCATGAAAGAGTTCACCTGGGAAGCCACTATCAACCCATCCCAGGAGCAACGAGGTAGCCAATTATGCAGGGCTAACCCATAAAAGCCTGGCACATTAAGGCTCAGAGAGCTTCCTGGTTGGTGAAGGGACCTCTCTGAGACATCGCAGCTCAGGATTGGGCATCTTTCCAGACTTGGCCCATGTATTCTTCCTTATATTGATACTGATTTACACTGTAGGTTCTTTTATTGTGAAATCCTTATACTCTAATAAAACCAGTCGTCCCAGGTATAATATCTTCTGTGAGTTTATGTTCCAGTGAATCAAATAACCCAAGGACAATGCCATCTTAACTTTTAAGGTCTGAACTAGCACCAGGTAGCTAGAGGCAGAGAGAGAGTGCTGTGTAGGCTAGGCGGCTGGTGTTAGAAATAATGGAGAAGTGGAACACACAGGGATATGACTGATCTTCACATTCTGGAAATCGGGTTTATGCTGATTCTGAACCATAAGCTATCATCACAACCTCACCTCCAGCAAGGAACACAGGCCTGCTAACACCTTGATTTTAACCCAATGAAACCTATTGGACTTCTGATCTATAAAATGGTAAGATTATATGCTTTTGTAGTTTTAAAGCACTATTTGGTGGTGGTGGCGGGGGGAATCTGTCATAGCAGCAGTAGGAAATGAATCCATCAATGTATTCCAAAGATTAAGGGCAAGAAGTTCCATTTTTGTCTGAGTTGTATTATTTTATAGGGGCTTTTAAAAAGCTTTGTATTGTTGAAGGAGATAAGAAGGAGAGATTTAATATGCTGGCACAGGTGAGGAAAATCAATTCTTTACCTCTCATTAGACCAGAAATTGTTGTACAATCCCTGTCTCACTGCCAGAACCTAATGGAGAGAAGAGATGCATAGTAACCTGCATCTCTTAATTAAAATTCTATTTTTCAAAAATTTTACTCATCTGATTTTTCTGAACAAAAAAACATCCACAAGGCATAAGGTGAACCAGTTTTATCAGTCAAAATAATAATCTAGTAATATAAAGTACATTGCTACTTTTGAACCTCAGAAAAATATAATGCTACTTAACAAGGCTAATATTAACATTTTCGGCAGGTCAACTCTTGACTGTTGAAGATCATCCCTCAAACTACTTGGCATTAAGCATCTTGGCCCCTGCAGCAGAAAGTCAGACGTTCCCTCGGCACAGCCCCCCGCCCTCACACATTTCTAGATGCCCTCTTGACCACCCTCAAGAAATCCCCCCAAGTGTTAACTAACAAAGAGTCTAATTTACCTATGGCAACTTGGCTGTCCTGTTCTAGCAAAACGCAATCTCTCATACAATTCCAAGAGAACCAAGCATACTACAGGCTATATAGTTTGCAAATAAATAGAGTGAGATCATTAGCTGAAAGAAAAGACAATGGAAACAAGAGGTTGGTTTGTTCATTAAGTGGCACTATCTAACCACAAAGGCAGCAATTCATGTCCAACAGCCACTCCTTGGGGGACAGGTGAGGCTACCTGGTCCCATGGAGATTGACAATATCAAAAACCCTACATAGGGTCTCTCTGCGTCCAAATGGCAGGGGGTTTGGTTTGGATAGCATACTAAGTTATTAAGAAACTACAGAGTAAAGCATTTCTTATGATTACATCAAATTGGATATATGACTTTGCTTTTAAAAAATAAAATCCGTGTTTTAGATGTACCACTAGTGGTCATTATCTTGCTGGGAACCCGATCAATTGGCAAAACCACCTGGGAAGGGTCTTACCACATACCATGGTTTAGTGGCACCAAATCCCCCTGAAAAGCTAAGAGTATGGAAAAGATTGGTTTCTTCCATCTCTCTAAGAGAAGAACTCAGCTCGTTCTAAACACAGCAAAAATAAACCAGGAAACGGTACCACGGATGGTTTTCCTGTTGGCTTATGTTGAGCTCAACCTAAGACTCCTCTGCTCCCTCAAAAAGACTTCCGCTACATGTTTTTCCACCAAAGGAGCCAAGTTCACCTCGCTGAAAGGCAAGAGGCAAACCCGTACTGAGCATTAACCGGGAAGAAAAAGCACAAAGGAGTAGGGGAACATGCCAGGGAAAGCCACGTACCGGGCAGAAGTAGGTGTTCTCCACGATGTGATGGGCCACCATGCTGTTCTCAGCAGAGAGGGACATGATGAAGAGCAGAGCATCCCGGGCCTGCTGGCCCACTGTCCCCTCTCGGTGAATGAAGGGGATCAGAAGGGAGAAGATGAGAAAGTTGGCCGCCCCTTGGTCCTCACTCGTATGGAAGAATAGCTCCAGGATGGATGGGTCTTTGGCAAGGATGGAGCACAGCTGATTAAGCAGGACAACCAGCTTCCCTTCCACCATGGGGGTGGCTGTTCCTGAGCACGTGCTCAGCAACATCATCAGTGGCTTCAGAATGGGCTTGTGGTGCAGCAGGGGCTGGTGCGACTGGGTGACCAGCATTTCATACATCCTCAGCTGCTCGAGTTTCGTCTCGTCAGTAAATTCCCGTCTCAAGCTCCACAGGAACAGTTTCTCCATGATGTTCTCGGAGACCACAAATTCCAGAATTGGTCCCATGGCAGCATCCTTGGCTTGCTCTTCAATCAGCAAGAAGAGCATGTGTTCTACGTAATTCTGCACGGCGCTGGCCTCATCTGGAGGGATGGAGCCATACCGTGCCTGAATATTCTTCAAGGGGTCATGCTTCTCCAAGATCTTTACAACCTGTAACCAAATCAAACATTTGTCACCCACTGGAAGCTTATCATGATGACAAAGGCAGGCCACCATTCATCTCCCTCTCTCTCTCTTCCCCCACCTTCTCATGGGAAAAAACCTGAAGAGGTTAAACTATAGACAGATGTTTGAAGATCACTTATAATAGTTATTAAAATTTGGTAACCTAAACGTCAAAGAAATAGTATGGCTGCATAAATTAAGCCATCTTCATGCTTTGTGCTATTATTAGAGAGATTAATTTTTCAAAAAGGAAAATAATAAGTGATATATGAAAAACTAAATGATTTGTAAATATGGAGAACCATACATATTAACTATATAAATATCTTTTTTTTTAAACCTAGAGAGAAATATGTAAAATAATAGCTTTGTGTTCAAAGGGATAATCACATTTCATTTTTCTACACTTTCAATGGCATTGCTTTTCAATTTTAAGTACATTGACGATAAAAGGACATCTGACTACCCGTCTTCTCCTCGAAATACACCTTGAGAGCTGATTTGGAGACACAGTTTCCGCAGGGAGGCAGGTACTCCTATTGCCTGGACAGAACACCACCTCTCTGCCTCCTCTGCTTGGATGGGGACCCTCTTCCAGCCACGCCCACAGCCTTACAAAGTACAAAACTAATGAACAAGAGACACGTGCCTAGCAGAATCCATCCTAACATGCAGTCTATATTGAAACTAATTTTTTTAAAGATTTGAACTCTGTTCATTCTGCGTTGTTTTGTTTTGTTTTTAAGTCAGAAACGTGAGAAAACCACTTACAAAATTAACCTCTAAGTAGGTCATGCTGTAGTTCTGGTCTGCTTTTCTTCCATACCATTGCTGGCATTTGAACGCTTCCTACCTCTCTGCACCCATTGCTACCTATACGTCTGCTTGAAGACCTGGATATGGAAACCATTTTACATCTCAGCTGCCATTTAACTGTGTGCCTGGTAATGTTGACCGCCGTTGCCCATCAAATGCACTCCCTTTAAATGTGGGCACAGGATCACTTTTAAACAGCGGAATATTTTATTAACACATCTTTCTTCCTTTCTGCCTTCTTGAACTGCATGCTCGGTGGGATCCGTTTGTTTTTCGCACTCCCCTTCCTAATCCAGCTCTTTGATGCGCAGTTACATGTTCTATATTTAGGTTATACAATTTTTTGCAAGTCACTGGGGAAGCTGGCAAATGTGCAACGCCGTGTCAGCATGCATGAGCAATGAGGGAAATTTAGTCCTTGGGAAAAGGGCTAAGGAAGAAAAGAAACCTTTGTAAGCCAGGCAAGCATATCCATACGGAGAGTGCATTTCCCCAGAATCTTCACATCTATGGACGGCCACTTTAAAATGGACAAAGGCTGTCACGGGGGAGAAAAAAATCACCCCAGCACCCTGGAGTTGTTTCTTTCAATGAGGAAGGACTGTGGTTAGCAGCTACCCAGGAGGTATAAAGGCCCAGCGGCTGGTGGCCTCAGCTATTTTCCTGGGCGACAGGCCAACTCCACAGCACCCAGTTAATTCCACACACCCCCATCAAGCCCTCGCCATACCTGCCAGCCTGGTGATTTCACTGGCAGAAACTCTGAGACCTGTTCTCTTCCTTTCTTTTTGCTCTGGGCCTTGGCACCACCCCACAGGCAGGGATCAGAGTGCTATGCTTGCCCAAAGGAGATCTTCCACCAGCACAGCTTGTTCTCCAACCCGAAACGTCCCTAACTTCAAGGCGCTGAGTGTGAAGAACAAATTAGCTACAGGCTCTATCAGTTCTTTAATGTCAAAGTCCACATATTGGGTTTACTTATGAGCAATATCATTACAGCTGGGCCTCTGGGTAAAAATATAATTATACTTCTTGTGTGTGCTTAGACTGTCCACACTGGCCCAAACGGGGACTATGCCTTAGACTCTGGTAGGAGTGCAGAAAATTAGCTCCATCTTTCTGGAAAGCCATCTGGCAACATGTAACAGAAGTTAAAAAATTGTTCCTGTCCTTTGACGTATTAATTCCACTCTAGGGGAAAATGCTGTAAAGAAACAGCCCAAGAATAACTTAAATGTTAAAATTGTTCACACTAAAATTATCTTCAGATAATAGAAAGTAAAAATATCATTGACCCAAACAGTCAGGAATCAGGGACCTACAATTAAAATGTTGCCTCATTAGACAATAATACTATTAAAAATAGAAACTAAGTGAATCTTACGATAATATTAATAGATGAAATAATTTATGTTCAAAAAAACAAATACTGACAAATGGATGGATGATTAGTAAAAAAAGCTGGGAGATAATATTTTATTTAAAGTGAATGATCACTCCTCTCATGTAAATCTAATTTCATAAGATAAATAAAAATGAAAATAGGCAATGTAATTTTTCACTGATGCCTTACAAATAAAAGGGTTAAAAATAAGTGATACTGGAAAACTGCTATGTCTCTGAAATTCTGAAATTAAATTTGTACATATACATATATATTCTAAATACTATGCATTCACAGGCATGTACATGCATCTACATATTACATATACAATGAAAATGTATAGTAAAATTTACATATCCCAAATTACATTTTTTTCATGAATTCATCTTCATGTACATTATTAATTTCAAAGCATTCCGTTCCAAACAGATTTTTTTTTATTTTGCTGGGGGGGAAAATCCCTCAAATAATGAACTGAGATTTTTATATAGCATGCAAATTGCTGAGCAGTTGTGTTTTTTTTTTTTTAATGGAAGCACCTTTATCCTACTTCTAATAGCTGCCCCTTGATGTAGCTCTCTGGGGTAATAGGCAGAGAAAAAAACATCAAAATGGAGTGAAAACCACCCGCCAAGGCATTTTGCAGTCTGCCAGTCATCTGCAATGGAGCAGACACGTCAGCAGCTGCACGCCTGTGAGTCAGGGTGCACCGAGTGATCGGCAAAGTGCTGATGAGCCCTGTGTGGGCACATGGCCCTTCCCTGTCTCCTTAGGTGTCAAGACCTTCCCAGCCACCACCCTCATCCTTCCAGGCAGACACACCCATGACCTGCTTTTACAAGAGGGCTCTGGGTGTTCACACCCTGGACTCGGGTCCTACCCTGCCAGGGCCTGCCCAAGGGACCTCCTGTCTGGGGCAGAGCTTGCAATGAGAGAATGGCAGTTGCGCTGCTGCCCAGGTGGCACCACTGTCTTTCCGTTTCTATAGGCTGAAGCCTGGCATGACCTTCTGTGAGCTCTTCCCACATCAGCCAACATTCCGTGTCCTGGACGTCGGCTTGCTGCCTAGTTTCACCCACTCGCCAACCCTTCTCCTCTAGCCCTGCAGATGCCAGCGTCCAGGCTGCTCACAGTGGCTGCCCTACACCTGGCTCTCTCCCACGCTCTATCTTGCCTCAGCCTTCCCAAAGCTAGCTTCCCTCACTACCCACTCAGGGACTCAGTTCTTGGGGTGGGGGGCAAGGGGTGGGATGCGGGACACAATGAATGGAGCTAAAGGGACCCAAGTGAGTAAGAGTGTGAAAACAAGCAAAATATACTTTGCCAATATTTCTTTACAATATTTCTTTGTCAGGCTAAATATACCATCTAATGAACTAATCAACTCCTGAAGAAGCTGCGAGTAATTAAGTGGATTTGCTGAAATCAGAGAGAGACACTTAAATGTTTTGTTGATCATAGCTAAGCTATCGATGGACAAACTTTAACAAAAACCGGCTGGTCCTTACGCCTGTGGACCTTAAGTCTGGATTAGATATACAAGGGGGTTTCCAAAAGTTCATGGAAGAAAATGGAATCGAAAGATAATAGAATTCTTCGGCAAACTTTTTGAAGCCCCCCCTCCCCATAGATCCATATGTAAATTACCACAATTCTTAAACTCTCAAACACACACACAAATGTTGTGTGGACAACGGTGCTAAAATGCTCAGTAGACCAGTACTTGTTAACTTGCCCACCTCACTGCAGAATCACTGACCTGTAACTAGGAGGACTATTGGGGCTAAGTAAGGTGAACCAATAGCCACGTGTTCCTTCGAGAATGTAAGATATTCCTCTCCTTGGCCCAAAGGATGGCTCCTATCAGGTAGTGTTAACAGGCCTGAATATTAAATATTCAAAAATTCTAAATAGGAAACTCAAATGCTTTCAGAATGAAAGATGTACATTAAGACACATAGAACTCAAGCTGACAAGTAACTATCCTTTAGGATGAGAAGTGCTCCCCTGTCAGTAGCTTATCTTCCCTGTCACCTTTTTACGTGTGTCATGTACACAGGCTTGTAGCAGTAGGTGATTCTTATGCTACTTTGGTCAGAGCCAAGTTATTTCAAGAGTCACAGGAGAGCACACCACACTCCAAGCCCTGGGAACGCTCATTTAAAATGGCCTATGGGAAACACCACATCAGCAGGCCGCCGTGGTCTATCACAGGGGCTATCTTAAACCTTGATTCATCTTTTTCAAAGATGGGCAAGATTGAGCTGTCTTCGGTAAAATTCCACTTAATATACCCAAAAATGACAATAAAAGGAAGTGTCCATTTGGTCCTGATGCCTTACTTAACATGTCTTTCAATTTGGATACTTTTTGCATACCTCTATTCAAAGAAGAGCCTTCTTTTGAATTAAGGTAACATTGCTTTTCAATATCTGTGTGCTTGCACCCGTTTTTAATGTCAGCTCCAATCCCGAAGCACCAGAGATTTGTCTAAATCTGGGACAGAGCAGGAGAAACCAGAAACTCTATCTACAAGCCATACGTCCTTGGAACCAAAGGTACTCTGATAATTACTGCCATACAGAGGCACATTAGCAGCCTTAGTCAATAAAATAACATAATACACCCTATATGCCTAGGCACAGTAGAAAACAACATTTTAGGACTATATGAAAAGGATTAAAGAGTAATGATCTATGTAAAAATATCCAGGCGAGCACTCATACGTGCAACCCTAGCAAAGCCAGCCTCATCATCAGATGTACACTGGGGGAGTGGCTGACGT